TGCACATGCAGTGACATTACATGTTTACATTTTCAATTTTATCGTGCCCATACATGACATTGCTGACGCTGTAATTTCTGAAAAGCTATTTTCTTGTAAATTAAAAATGCCAAAAGTACGTAGAAGTAAAAAACCTCCTCCAGATGGTTGGGAATTAATTGAACCAACGTTAGAAGAATTAGAACAGAAAATGCGAGAAGGTAATGATACAAAAAAAATTAAATTTATGGTTAGAAGGTTAGGTTAGAAATGAAATATTTTTATTTTATACAATTTTAATAATTTGAATTATTTTATATTTGAATTTTAGCTGAAACGGAACCTCATGAAGGTAAACGCAAACAAGAATCTTTATGGCCTATATTTAAAATACATCATCAAAAATCACGATATATATATGATTTGTATTATAGACGAAAAGCTATAAGTCGTGGTCAGTAAAAAATATATAGATCGTTTTCTAATTTATTTCAATTTATTTCATTTATTTATCATTATTTTTTTCAGAATTGTATGATTATTGCCTGAATGAAAATATAGCAGATAAGAATTTGATAGCCAAGTGGAAAAAGGTGGGATATGAAAACTTATGTTGTTTACGTTGTATACAAACCAGAGATACTAATTTTGGTACAAATTGTATTTGTCGAGTACCTAAAGGCAAACTTGAAGAAGGCAGAATAGTGGAATGTATTCATTGTGGATGTAGAGGATGTTCTGGATAACGTTTGGCAATAATAAATAAAATAAGATGCGTATTTACATTTTTGTCAATTAACATTGTATGTTATTAAACACTTTATTGCATAATACTAATGACCTATGAAAGTATTAACATAAAAATTAGAAACATATGTATATCTTTATTATCATTTTTATTATATAACTCTAAGTATTCATATAAATTTTAGAACTATATTGCTATCTTTATATAATTGCAGGTTTCTCGTATTTGAATTATCATACAATTGAAGTATACAGATGAATACAAAATTCTTAATCTCAAACAAAAAATATATCACTTCTTTAATATGAAATACTTACTGTATGTATAGAAACTAAAATGAAATAAATAATCTTTTGTTCAATTTTAAAAATGATGTAATAAAAATTGAATAAGATTTACAATATTAAATATAATATTGCTTATGTTTTTCATATATTCATTTTTATTTATATTTTTGATATAAACGCGAAGTTTTTTAATCATATTTTTTCATACAATTCTGTAAAAATTGTTTGACTTTCTTTATGAGCAGATGTTTGCAAACATTGATTGTTTAAAATAATATATCTTTTACCTTTTCGCCAAACTGTAGTAGTTGGTAATGTATAAGATTCTTTGTTAGTATGATGAATTGTATTCGTTTTCGCAGATAAAAGTGAAATAGCGGAACGACATTCTGATGTAGTGAAATCACTTGGAGCAGTTTGTGTAGCAATTCCAATGATTTGCCAAGAATATTTAATACTGCAATTACAAATTGGTTCATCATCAACAAGAGTATTTTCTTTGACTAAACTGTCCAAAAGTGTTTGCGACGTTTGTGAACCTGTACCAATCACTTGCCACGAATATTTTATTTTACAAGAATGATGATCATTTTTATGCAAATCTGTATCATTTTGAAATCGAGATCGATTCTTTGTAAGAAATGATAGAATCGAGTAATCAATATTTTCCCGAGAATTATTTTCAAAATTACGCATACATAACATTTTTTTGTGCATATTTTCTATTATATCTGTCTCATTTGTTTCTGAAAAATTATCTGATGTTGGAGGATGAAACATTGAACACCGAATTTCTTTAAAGGCATTCGATTCAATACATTTCATTGGATATTGTGATTCTTCTTTTTGATTAATAATAGTATTAGAAATTGTATCTCTTATGATTACACCGACATTTTTTAAAACAGAATCACAATAAGGATCAAAAAAACATTGTTTTTCAGTTCTATCATTCTTCATTGTTGCTGTTATAGCTGTTGTACTTAATGAAATATTTGAAGTATTGTTAGATATAATTGAATTATTTAAGATATTGTTTTCAGATATCTTCTCGCTAGAACTTGAGGAAAAACATTTAGTCCGATTAGGATTATATTGTGATGTATAAATAACATTCTTCGATTTATGTAATTTTAATTTTTTATTATTGTTATTTGTCTTTGAAAGATTTGACAAAATATTATTAATGCCATCAATTGATATTTTTCCATTAGTTTTATCATTTTTTTTCAATTTATTCGATTTAACTACGTTCTTATTGGAAAAAGATTGATATTTAGGAAACGAAGTCAAAGGTAAATCAGAGATTGACGAAGGAAATACTAATACTTGTTTTTTATTTTGCGATCGTACAGAAAATTCTTTGGATTGATTATTTATGAAACTATAATTTTTGTCAATTAAATGCGATCGTTTTTTTGACATTTTTACTTCATGTTTGCTTATATTAGTCTGAAATCATTAACGTTGCATATTAATTACTTTACTTTTTGTTTTTTCTTCCTAAAAAGATCTTGTACGCGTGCATATGAAATGTAATGCAAATGAAAATGTAAGAAAGAAAGAAAAAAATAGATAAAAAAAACTTCGAAAAATAGAAAACTAAAACAAGTAAAAAGAAAAATTCATTTTCGAAAAATAACATGCTTTAAATATACTATTGGATTTATATGTATGTTTTTACCGGAAGACAACATGGTTTTTTCAACAATGATACTGTTATGCCGTTGTTAGATTGACATAATTTATAAAACTCTGTCTTGCGCTTGGGAATATTGCTCTGTATTGCATCATTACGTTTCTTCGTAAATATGGTTTTCGTAACAGGTACAAAAACATTCTTCGTGATTACTTCAATATTCGGCACAAATGATGTTTTTGAATTTAAGACATTTTTAATTTTTGACATATGACTATTTTTTGTGACAGTTTTAACCTCCATTATGTTTCTTAATCGAATATAAGCTACTAAATGTTATTTCCGTGGTTTTTTTTAATTTATGATGTTTACTTTTAAATTTGTTACATTTCGAAAGTAAATGAAATGAAGAAAAAATAAATGGAAACAAAGGTTAAGCAACTTCAAGAAAGAAGAAAAATTAGTTAGCTATGTAAAAAAAAAGAAAAAGAGAGAAAAAGAAAGAAAAAAAAAGATTCCAGTAATATACATTTTATCGAGATTCTCTTATCATGTAACAATTTTCATTGAACTATTCACTAACTACACTAATTCTTTGCTAAGATTAAAATCTATAGCTTAATAATGAAATAAATATTACAGACATATTTAAAAAATTATCATATTATATTATAAGAAAAAAAGAATATGTTATGGAAATTATGAAATTTATATATGTTCATTTGAATTAAAAAAGAATCTGACAATTCAATTACAAAAAATTGTAATGAATTTATCTAATAAAATTAAACTTTTTTTCTTATCCCATCTCACAGAGAATATTTTTTATTGTAAAAAATATAATAATATTATAATGCTGACATTGTTGACAATAGCGATATTTTCAACGATGGAAGTAATGCCGACAATGACGAAACGGTATAATAATAACAATAATATAACGATGTTTTATGTAATCACAATACTAATTATCATATTTATGATAAATATAATAATAAATCAATATAATAATAAATCAATAAACAATATAAAATATAGTACATATATGATTTATGTGTATAAATATACTAATATTGAAACTAATGTGAACTAATGTTGTTTTAAATTGTAAATATTATAAAAACAGCAGTATAAAAAGAATAGTATAAAAAAAAAATAAAAAATCTAGATATTGATAAATTTAATTCAAAATTAACAAAAGAATAGTAGATTAATAATAAGATAAAGAAAAATATAGAAAAGTGATAAATTTCGATTGTCTCAAAAATTCAATCTTCATCAAATCGACAATATTGATTATATTTACAAAAATCTAAAGAATTAATTAATGATAATTCGTAGTAAATTTGATCGAACTGAAAAGACAAACAGATTTCGATAAATTTAATATATCGTTTCCCATTTGTCTTCTTATATATAAATATTTACGATGATTATAAACATCATTTCTAATGATTTGTGATAATATATATGTATGTAAACGTGTGTAAATGTGCACGCACGCACTTTTTTGCTAGAACACTTTACTTCACGCATGAGAGCGAAGCTTTAGTAAACTTTCTATCAATGTTTTTGTAAAATTCTAAATTATTATGATATTAAATATAATCTAATTAGAGAATTTGATTTATATACAAAAAAAAATGTAATTTATCATGAAATTATATAATAGCAATTTTATCGATGTTTGGTTTAAAGGTTATTCGCTCGAGATGCACTTTTATATTAAACACTTTCTATTTTTTGATATATACAATTTTATTCGGCATATCCTCGAGAAATAACGCGCGTACGTATCATTACGAATGTATAACGTACACGTACAAACATCCGCAGGCACTCTTATCAGCATATATAACGCAAATATATTGTGCGAACATAAATTAAATACATAAAAATTAAATATCTGAAAATGTTATCTTATCAAATCTCTATTTACGTATACATTATGGAAAAAAAGGTATTTTTTAATATATATATATAATATATAATATATTATATATATATATATAACAATACATATACTGTTTATATTCTCGTATTTGTACTACATTCTCTCTCTCTCTC